GTATGGACTGGGACATTTCCCCTAGAAGCTTAGCCTCAAAACTTATTTTCTAGCATTTTCTACACCTCCGTGATATTTTTTGTGTCCTAATATAAGCAGAGTTTGTGATTAATCTGTCAAAATAACTTTTTCTTCCTTACGACTAAAAATGTTTCATACAAAAATCAATTATAAAAGTGGTCATAAGCAACCAAATCTCAGAAAAATAGAGAAAAGCTGGAATAGATTATCTGAATTAACTAGGGCTGGTGATTTCTAAAATTCAGCTACTCCTAAAAGATGGATCATGGCATTACATGGCACATACACAGGGGCAAAAGAGCTAATTCCATTAGGTGATACAATTAACACCTAGAGCCACTTGGAATACAGTGTCCATTAAAGGTAAGGCTTTGACTGATCAAGTGGTTACAACCACAGGAAAAAAATATGAAAATTGTGAAAAATGTAAGGGCTTTGGGATGAGTTGGTTGCTTCTAACTGTACTGGATAACTTAAGAAAGAGAATAGAAGATTCAACCTTCTAAAAGCTCATAGAAAACAGAAAACATGATACTTATGATAATAAATATCTCTTATCAAAAGTTAATTGCAGGGGGCTGAGGTTGTGGCTCAGTGGTAGAGTGCTTGCCTAGCATCTGTGAGGCACTGGGTTCAATTCTCAGCACTGCATATAAATGAATAAAATAAAGGTCCATTGACAACTAATATATATATATTTTAAAAAGTTAATTGCAGTGTAAGATAACACAAAAGCAAACGCAAAAGTTGATTCTCTGGTAGCTTCCTTACATAAGTTGAATTCACAGCTGTACCTCACTCATAATGAAGTTAGGGGAAAGACTGGGACCCCAAGAATTGGCATGGGAACCTATGAAAGGATTTAGTACTCCAAACTCACAAGCTTCCTGAGCCTCTCTCCAGAAGAAGCATCACCTGGTCCTCTCTATGAAAAGGCCTCTCCTGCCTTGAGGTAAGATAGCAACCCTGTGAGTATCTTACCTCACTTACCAGGAGAAGGCAATTCTTATTTTGCCATACTTGCATCATCTTCCATTGTCTCCAGACTTCTATCTGCAATCAGATCATAGAAAATCCAAGGCAGGCAAATATAAAGTCAAGAATCTAACCTCACACACCCAACAAATTGCAAGATTTTGCTAACTTGTGTTGACTGAAGGGAGGAAGGATGGAGAGAATATGTATAGTAATAGATTATGAAAGAGATGAGAGGAGATTATATAATTTATAGTGACCTAAATTTATGTGAGCATATTTACTAGTTTCTGGATCAGTGTTTAGGAAAGTTAGGTTGATATTGTTTGGTTGGTGGTTGACTAAAACTTATTATGAATGTTTACCCTCTAATGAGCTCTGGATTAGCAGGTAGACAAGATATCTTACTCAGTGGGCTGATGGAAAACACAATTCAGCCAGAGGTAGATTCTATTGTTTGAAACTGAGAACTCTTGCTAATACACTGTGTATCTTTAATTTCAGAGTTCTCCAGGAAAACAACCATTAGGATGTATGTGTATATATAAAAAAGGAGATGATTTTAAGGTATTTGACTCATATATGATGGAATCAAGTCCAAAATTGGCTGGGTGGGCTGGGAGATTAGAGACCCAGGAAAAGCCAGTGCTTCATTTCAACTCCAAAAGCTGTTTGTTGCAGGATTCTCTCTTCTTGAGACAGGTCAGTCTTTTGTTATATTTAGACCTTCAATTAATTAGATAGGGTCCACTCACATTATGAAGGCCAATCTGTTTTACGCAAAGTCCACCAATTTAAATTAATGTAGTCCAAACACATCTTCAAAGTAACATTCAGAATAATGTTTAGCCACAAATTTTGGCACCATGGCCCACACAAATTTAAATATAAAATTAACCATCATAGCAGATAAGTAAAGCCTTTATAAGAAGACTTCTGTGAATCAGCATTATAAATTAATAATTATTTCTATAGATAACTATGTTCTTTTTATAAGGTATCAAAAAAGTGAATGACTAGGACTTTGTAACTTGAGTTCAATTTAAAATACTGAATTTAAGTGCTACAGGATTCCCTACTACACATTTTAAAAATTGCTTGTTTTAATGGTTAATAGAATAGAAGAGCACCAGCTTATCATGCTTATTCATAATTCTTTTTTTCTCAGTCAATATGTTTGTTTTTTTTTGAATTCTCAGAACTTCTTTATTTCACAAAAAGGTGGTTTTGACTTATCACTTATTTTATATATTATCCAATACCTTCAATAATTTTCTCTTCAGAAATTTCTTTTGCTGAATTTTAATTTTTGACGTTCTATAGTATTATTAAATAACCAATATTTTCAGTATGAATTATGTTAAGACTGCCATCTACTCTTTAGTAACTTCTATTAAGGCATATTTAGCATAAAAGATATTCCTTCTTTTTAATAAACTCAGTATTGGGTGGAAATTAACCACTAACGTTCCTATCAATCTATAATACACTATGTCCATTCTTATTTTGGTGTTTCTGGTTACAAAACATGTACACCTTTCTAGAACCTTGAGAAGCTGGAATCTTTTTGTCAAAATCCATCAAATTTGCCAAATTGGTGCAGGAAAATTATATGGATACCAAAAAAGCAAAATCAGTCTCTTTTATATCCTTCCCCACAATAAACGATGGCATGACTCTCCCTATATATCCAAAAAGTATACTTATTAACAGGAAAAATCTAGGGGGGAAATTCCTTAAATACCTCTTGAAATCCTATTATGCATAATAATATCCTTTATCATTAGTATTTTTATTCTTTAAGATGTACAAGAACACAATCATATGTTCACTGAAATAGCAGACATAGTTTTGATCAAAGACAATATATAGTTCAGTGCTGTAGTTCAATGATGTACGTATCAGAACCACCTAAAGCTTTACACACCATACCTAATAAGTCATTAATAGTTTCCAGCAGTTCTCTAAATTTTCAAATATTTTTCACATGTAATTACTACTACTAATATATATATATTTAGTGGCAATTAACATTAAAATCAATCTACTAGTATTAAGTAATTCAGAGTAATAAACCATGAGTCAAATAATTCACTCTTTAAGTACTCAAGCTCTAAATATTATAAATTCTTTTAAAGAATATTATAAATTTTGTTTTCACAACCAAAAACTTAAATGCCATTGACGATCCTTCCAAATATTTATGTCTAAAATCCTGGAAGGCTACGCAAAAACCCCTAAACAAATGTCATTACTTTAAAATGCTAGAAAAAAAAAAACTTTAATCATCAATTCTGAAAATTAGTTAAGTAATTAAAACCATTAAAGCATAACACTGACCTAAGAGGACAAGAATTTTATTTTTATAATCTTTATTAATATGTGATCATCTTCAAGGGTCTTACTTGCTAGCCTTTTAAACAAATTTCTAAGGCAATTTTACAGTTCATTTGAAAGGTGATATCACACAACTCCTACAACCTTCGCCACTTTACAAAACAAAGGAAAAATTGTTTCAAAACTGCTATCTTAGAAATATTACTATAATTTAGAGCAGCTCTATGTTAACTCATATCAATCAGTGTCTTAGATTGCCATGTACATCTTGATTGAGACATGCAATATGGATTCTGCTTTGGAAATTAGTTAATCGGCATGCGGATTTCTGCAGAGATCCATAATCCCTAAAAACAAAAGAAGGGAAACATTATAGGGCTGACTGACAACATATACTAAAGGTGGGGGCAGCTTTCACAACGATGGATATGGGGCAAGGAAAGAGGACATGAGTTCTTCAGCTTTCCAACAGCAATCAAAATTACTAGCTTCCATATATGACAAGACATATTTTCGAAGTGGAATTTATTAGACTGACTCATACCATCAGTTACCATCAAACTCTACAAAGTGTCAATGTAATCCAATTTAATCTTCTTTAACCATTAAAAAAAACTTTAAAGACTCTTCCAAGGTAAAAATTCATTTGGTCTATTTTAATAAATTACACATTCTAATTTGTATGTATGTTCTTCACATGTCATTTTAAAAGTATTTAAGACATCTTTGATAATTAAAATAGAGTAGCCATGTTGAAAATAATAAGTTTACATAAACTATTACGGACTTGAATGCACTAGTGATTAAGGTAGCTCAAGGCTTTAACTTTGAATGAGCTTAATAAAAAACATCAGGGTAAGTTGGAGACATCTATCCCTATACTAAATGTTATACTAAAATGCTGGGGCGTGGTGGCTCACACCTGTAATCCCAGCAGCTCTGGAGGCTGAGGCAGAAGGATGGAGAGTTCAAAGCCAGCCTCAGTAAAAGTGAGGCACTAAGCAACTCAGTGAGACCCTGTCTCTAAATAAAATTCAAAATAGAGTTCAGGATGTGGCTCAAGCCCCATTACCAAAAAAAAAAAAAAAAAGTAACTAAAATATTTCAAATACTTTTAAAACAATTCAAAGTTGATTATTTTTCCTTTACTATGTTAGCAAAGTTTGAACGTATAACTTGATATTTTGACAATCATGGTTTTGGTTTACCTATATATTCTGGGCTGAGAGTGAGACAAATTATTAAACTTGCCAAAATAAAAGGAGCCTATCTGACTGCCTTTGATATGCTTCAGTGAATTCACAAGAAAACAACATGTTCAACAAAACATTATACCCAGTGCTTGGAAGTGAAAACAGTGACCTGAAACTTCATGTAGCTTTGGTAAAAGCAGACAAAAATGAGTTTCTACCTTCGGGGTTACATATTTGTTAGAGTACAGAGATAGATATATTAATCCTGGTTAGTATTAAAAGCATTAACTTGAGGAGGAAATGTCCGCAATTAGTTCAATCTATTAACTAAAAGTTTCATAGAAAAAAAGTTATAAAGAAAAAAAATGTGTTTGAATAGTTTGCAACCTGTAATTCTATACGAATCACTAAAATTCAAAGATTTTTTAAATTATATTATTTCTGGTAAAGTCAAATCTAAAATATAATACCTGGATTCCTCCTTGTTGAAATAGAAATTAAACTAATTATGTAATTTTTAAAGTAGATACTCTGAAAATCCCAATTCACAAGTATACAAAATAGGATAAATAATAAAGGGTGTATATGAATGAAAAGCTACAATAATTCCAATTTTTGCCACCTTGGCAAGGTACTGCACATATACATTAATATAATAGAAATGGCACAGTCTCTGAGGACACGTTCCACATTTTATTTACATTTTAAGACTAACTTTAATCTCAAAATCACATATCCATACACATATTTTCTTTTTGTTGACTTCACTTAAACTTGAATGCATGGTTTATTAAACAAAGACTGTAAACAAATATTTACCATGTTACATGTAACACACAGGAACAGCTTTTAATAGAAATCCATCGAACCCCTCCCCAACATTTTTTATTATAAATACAGGTATCAAAACAATCCTGAACATATTTTTGATACTACTAGTAGTCAGCACCCACACCACTTCAAAAATTACCACAATTTGTGACAATATTCATTGTACCTGCTACTTAAACAATTTCAACTGCAGCTCTTTCACTAAGCAAGATGGACAAAGCATGCCATTTTTGTTTGTCTTTCTTGAGATTTTACTTTTCAGAAACACGCAAGTTTCCAATGCATCTGACACTTCTTGCCATGCTTTCCTCTTGTAAACCTGAATTCTATTTCGAGTACTCCAGGTTCATGTTTAAATGACAGTGCCTTAACAAAAGAAAGAAAAATTGTGCTGCATTTTTCCTCCTGTTACCTGAAAACATAATGGGTGTACATATATTAAATATATCCTTACAAATGTCCAGGTCATGTTTACCAGCTGGAATTCTTTTACTTAATGTGTGGGTAATTTTGCATTGTGATATTTAATCAAGACATTAATATGAGTAGAAGGTTGTTGATTTAAGACAAGTTTGAGATTCACTAAAATTAATTGTTGTACGTTTGTCCTTCTGGTGGCTGTGGAAGCTTCATATTTTCTTTGGACATCATTAGATGTCTTAGTTCTTGAAGTACAACTTTAATGCTATATGAATTTTGACATTTTGCTAACACTGGTATGCTTCGTGCATCCACCATTCCACTGGAATTATTTATTCCATTCATATTAATTTTTGTTACAAATCTAACTGATGGAGGAGCTTCTGGGTATTTAGGTCCACGTTCTACTTTCAGGCTATATATTCTGTTTTCATAATTTGTCCTTGGTGGCCCAATAATCATGCCTGGCCACCTTGTAAGTGTCATATCTTCATCATCTTCAAGTCCCCAGTTAACCGTGCCATCACCTACTCCTTTTTGTCCTTCTTCAAGTTCTTCCAACAAGCGAAAATCACGAGGAACTTTAACTCCTGTGGAGACCGCCATCTTTTCCTGCAGCTCGATGCAGCCGCCTGCACGCACGGGAGTCAATATGTTTTATTCAGAGATCCAAGAGAGTAAACTTGGTATTCATGGCACAGATATAAATAGAAGCTTGTGAAAAAATAATGGGTAAACATTAGAACTTGAAAGTTCTGATCCATGGAGTCATCAGGCTATTGATCTTGCTTGTTTATATTTGTCTTACCATTGGAAGCCATAAGATATGCCACTTTAGTGTGTATTACTAGATAATAATTGTGAAATCAAAGAATAGATAATATGCTTCAGTGAGAGGCAAGCAGATAAAAATGATTGAGATTTAGAGAACATATTTTCCTCTAGACAAATGGCGATTTAACAATGAAAGCATAATCTTTAAATTTAATTCAGTCAAGGTTACTTTTTCATGATGTTATAGTGATATAACATGATGTTATACTATAGATAATATTCTTATAAAATTTATTTGCCAAATACATACACTCAAGTGAGATATAGAAGGAATCAGTGAATTAAATTATTCTGTTGAAAGCAACTATATTAAAATAAAAATTTGCAGAAAAGGATGAATTAACTATATGCATTATGATATAATTATTTGACCTCCTTTGAACTGAGAATTTCAAGGTCTAGGAAAACTGAACAAAAAAAAACCTATTTAGTTTTACTGAAGGCTTTATAAGTGGACCCTTTAAACCAAGCATAGATTCAATGCTCAAGATGATGATTACTTAGTGACTCACAACAAGTTCTTGGCCAGTATTAGAAGTGGTACACTAAACACACTGGCTTTTACCCAGTTTCCCATGTCAGAACCCACAACTACTCCTCAATCCAGCCTTTGAACAAGTTGGACTATTCCAAAAGTTGTAGCAATATTAATACAAATTTAACCTTCATGGTACAATGCATCGGAACAATTACTACTTAATTACTGTTTTAAATCACCTTCAAAAGTATATTTATACAGCAAGGTATTACAGGGTAAGACATCTATTTTCCTTTCACAGTTCATAAAATGCGTGTGCAATTCATGGCTGTTGCAGTAGATGGCAGTGTTTTAAAACTTCCTTCATTTGCAAATAGAGTAGTTGAATGACTATCTCTAATTGGGCTACTTATATTATATATAGATCAATCTATACAAAAAAGTCATGCTTTGATTCTTGCATTTATTACTTCCTGTGCAAATAGTGAAAGGCAATGAAACTTGAGTTCAAACTATCTGTGTACTGATGAGTTGCCAGATGATACTTGGGGAGTATATGACATTCCCTGAGACTTGGTAGCAGGAAAAATCAGGGTTCAATTGTGCCAATAATGGCCATGAACAGAGACCAATAGAGCCTAGATAATATTAAATGTGCTTAAAAAGAACCCAAAACTTACAAATAAAGGTTTATATTTCACACAAATACCAGACATTTAATAATCTCAGCAAAAATGAAATTATTCTTTTCATTGAAAAACATTCCTGACACTCAGATTTACATTGAAAATCTTTATCATATGCTTTTGACTGAATATTGTACACCATCATCAATATGCTATTTTTTTCATTGACTATTACAGACATGTGTGTCCCTGGTTTTTGCCATCTCCACCTAGAAGTAGTTATTTAAGATTCTCTTTTTTGTTTGTTTTGTTTTGTTTTGTTTTCTTCTTTGTGTCTTTTTATCCTATAGCTACAATAAAGACAAAATTTTCTTGATTATTCCTGTAAATTAGCTCCCTATATTTGGAGGAAAATAATTTCTGGAGGGCTCATACTAAATCAGTATCACTCTCAATTAGGTATTTTGTAGAATTCATTTCTCTAACCCCAGAGTTTTGTTCTCTCTAATATTGCCTGCATGCAAAATACTAAACATTTTAATGTCAAGTCATGAGTGGTGATTCTGGAAACTGCTTAATTCACACTCAGATTGTGTTTTTTTGTATTTAAGGTCAATTCTTGTGTCATGCTGTTGGTCCCATTTCCTGCTGCTTTTTGGGGAGTTTTGCTGTTATTCCTCGTATCTTTATCTCTCAACCTTTCTTTGTTGATTGGCTTCTACATCTTAGCTTGTAAATATGTTCACTCTTTCCCATTCTAAAATAATAATTAAAATTAAAACTTTCCCTTGGTCCATATTCTCACTTGGGTTACTGACTGTATTAATATCTAACTTGGGCTACTATAACAAAACACCATAGACTAGGGACTAAAACAATATAATTGATTTTGTTTTTTGTTTTTTTCTTTCTAAGATCTGGAAGCTTGTATTCTAAGATTGGGTTACAGCATAACTGATTCCTGATGAGGGCTCTATTCCTGATTTGTGTATGGCCACCTTCTTCTTTTTTATTTTTAAATTTAAAATGATACATCAAAACATAAAAATCATGCATATTAACAGGATACCATGTGATGTTTATACATACACACACACACACACACACACACATATTGATATTGTGTAATCAGGTTAAACATCTGTCTCCTCAAACATTGTGATCACTTCTTTATGGTGGAAATGTCCAAAATACTTTCTTGTAGATTTTTGAGATATATAGTTCACAGTCACTGTTTATGATCACCTTGTTGTGCAGCAGCACACCAGAACTTCTTATTCTTAACTGTGACTTAGTACCCATGGCTCTTCTAGGGTAGACAGAGCCAGCAGTTTCTTTCTTTCCTTATAAAGCCACTAATCTCACCATGAGGGCCCCACCCTCATGACCTAATCTAATTCTAATTTTCTCCTAAAGACCCTATCTCTGAATACTATCATATTTGGAGATTAGGCTTCCACATATGAATTTGGATTGGAAAGGGACACATTAATTCACAACGTTGCCTCTGTTTTCCTTCCCCTGGAGATTTTCAGATGGTATTTTGGAAAAGAAAAAATCTTCACTTTTGCTTCCATTTTTCACCTCCTATTTCCCTACAACCCTCCACCATTTTGTTTCTATCCCCACAGTGTTCCTAAAATCGCTAAGATCACCAACGGATATCCTGTTTGTCAAGTCCACGGACTGCTTTTCAGTTCTTATTTTAACTTGACCATAGGGTCCAATGCTGTTTGCCATTTTATTCTTTCTTGGTTTCCCTTTCTGGCTTCACTTTCCTCTTGACTCTAGAGTTTCTCCTTATTGGTTACCTTTAGATTGTTTTCTTCAGTGTCCCAAATGTCAGGATTCCATTCTAAATAATCATCTCTTTTTAATTTGTCTTCTCCCTCAAGTCACTCCCAAGTCTTAAATGACTGAGTATGTACTGTAGTAGGTATTTCTCAGATCTTCCATGATGTAAAGGGAAACTGAATCATGGACCAGGTTATTTAAATATTTTTCGCAGATAGAATTGAAGTTTGACCCTTATTGATTCTCTTTCTTGTCATTTGTAGAAATATAAAACAAGTCTAGTCTCTCATTTCTCCAGGGAAATTCTTCAAATATGTATTTTTCAATCTCTATCATGGACTTTCCTAGTTTTCTCTTCTCCATCCTTAGCAGTGGGTTATCTATCATCTATTGATCTTCAGTTAGTATGATCTATAGGCCACTCCAATCACCACGGGATACTTCAGTATTTGTCATTCTCGTTCTTAAAATGTGTTTTGGAGCATATTCACATTGCTTAAGGCTGGCTCACATGAAAATTTTTCTCACAATAAAAAACCTGTTTCCAAGTCACATGTTCAAGGTACAGTTTTAAAATTTTGAATGACTAATACAGGGATTATCACTTATTTCTGTTAAATTTTACACTATAGATTTTAATCCAGTATTGTAGCTCATATTGAAGTATTGAATTGCAATTATGTAATGTATGGCATTTATGGTGGAAACATCCAAAATACTGCACAATGTCTTTCTACTGCACAAGTCACCATTCCTAATTTCGACCTCTGAGATTTGGGTAATCTTGCTTTCTGGGACTTTTCCAAGTCACTGACATTGCTGAACAGGATGAAGTTAAGTAAGTGCCCCTCTCATATTATAGAAAATGCTGTCCTATTGCAGTGCTTGTGTGTTTTATTCAAGACTCACTCAGGAAGTGGACTGACCTATACAATATCACTCATAGCACCAACTGTGGCTGTGCAAGCTCCCTTGACTCACCAACAATGTTGTTATGTCAACAATCCAGCCATGGTGCTATCATGAAAAATCACCAAATATTGAATAAAAATCAAGACACATCATATGTCTACACTGTTTGCATGCTCTACCAAACCATAAATCTTATTCAAAAACAAAAAAAGATGAATTAACTGTATGCATTACTTTAATAAAACTGTTAGTACTGAACTCATTTTTGTAGCTAATGAGCATTATGTTTTCCACCAAATTCTTAGTTTTTATCATATGTCTGAAACTATTTCCTTTATCTTGATTTTATTTTGCAATTTCCCTTTCTCTTTGTTTTCTCCTTTGTATACTTGTCTTTCTTTTTTTAAGAGAGAGAGAATTTTTTTAATATTTATTTTTCAGTTTTTGGTGAACACAACATCTTTATGTGGTGCTGAGGATCCAACCCAGCACCCCGCGCATGCCAGGCGAGCACGTTACCGCTTGAGCCACATCCCCAGCCCTGTATACTTGTCTTAATGGTTAGACCAGGTCAAAGATCAGAGAGATTTCCTTTGTTAGGAATCACTTCATTGTTCTATGATATTTTGCTAACCCAATTCTGCAGCATAGCTCATTACAGAGATGAGAAAATACTCATAACCTGACTAATATGGATTCCTCCTCTTGAGTAAGTCTTACCACTATGTCATGCAAGTGTCCCCCAAAATATTTTCTAAAACTATGTTTTTATTGTCCTTTGAATATCAGAGCCTACTAAGTAAGATAGTGAGGTTTGGAGTGCAATTTGCCTTTGGTATTTTAAACCCAGAGACATGAACACAGCATATTTTAGGAAACTCTGATTAGTTATATTATGGGTTTGTATCACACTCTGTTACAACATTCCAAACACTTTGATTGGAGTATAAATGCTTAGCCTCAAGATTATTTTCCACGTTCTAAAACATTGCCTCA